CTGGCTTACCCAGCACTTACCAACACACCTTGGTCATTTTTTAAAAATTATTTGAACAGCAAGCACCTGAAAAAAGACAATTTGTACAAACGCAACAAAAAAAATTATTTTGAATGGAGGGAATAGCTATACACTAGCAAAGCCCTTTTCTACCAATATGCAAATGAATGGGTAGTCTGTTCTTAGTACCAAGATGACAAAAAGGGATGCACTGATAGCTGTTTTTTACCGGCAAGTACAGATACTTATACTCAAGTACTCACCTATACCAACTACTGATACCTTTTGCGGTGCGATTCGAGCTCATACAAAATGAATGGACTCAAATTGCACTTCAAAGAATAGCATGTGATTTGAAGAGGAAAGCAGTGTGATTCCTGTCCAAATCGCATGTAGTTTCCCTCACCGCTCCTGTGTGAACCCAGGCTGAAGTCACTATGACAAGCCTGGGTTCACGCAGAAACTGTGTGGGAAACCGCATGGGATTCAGACAGGAATTGCACCCCGTTCCTGCTGAAATCGAATGCTATTCTTTGCAATGCAATTTGAATCCATTCATTTTGTATGAGCTCAGAATGAACCGCAAAGGTATCGGTTTTAGGTATCAGAGCATTTGCACGTGTACAAGTATTTGTGCAAATGCTTGGTATCGGTATTGGTGCAACCCAACAAAAAAGGCTACTTATTGCAGCTAAACAGTCCCATCCTCACTGGCCAGTGATAGATGAGATAAGCACGTTTTGTGAGCAGTCGTAGGGCCCTTTAAGAAATAACACAGTCTCAATAAGGAAAAAAGTCAGCTTGCTGAAGTTTGAGCTCCCGTCCCGTGCTCGCTCCCAGAATCTCTATCCGTTGACACATATTTAGTTTGGTATAACTTTACCCATCAGGAGTAAGGGAGGGACAGCAGTTCAGTCACACAAGGTGTTCACCAAATGCATCACACCCTCTCAAGGAGTAGACTCAGAATTTCCAAGTCAAAGCTCCAAACAACAGCTTGTCCCTTGGCACCGGGAAATGTCCTTGGGTGACAGCCACACACAAAAGAGTCCTGGGCACACCCAGTTACTGTCTCCAGCAGCAGAATTCCAAACGCATTGGGAGGTAGATCTCCAATAGTGGGGTACCTTGCAGATTGGCAGCTCTGTCCCTGCACACTTTTGCACCACTTGTGTTCTCACTCCTCTGCCTTGTCCAATTCCTCCTTCTGACTTTTTAGATAGCACTAGACATTACAAAAATGGCTTCCCCCAGCGCTCTCCTTAAATGTGGTCTCTATTATTGAATGTTCAGCTAATGGTCTTCTTAAAGGTGGCTGCTGCATTTGTACACAAACAATTGTTTAACTTAGCTCTGTCAATTTCACAAAAGAATAATGCAGCACCAACAGAAGGAAAAGCAAATGTCCATAGCAACTATAGTCCTGGCTACACTAGTTTAGAGTTACATGCTTTGACCTTCATTGTAATGTATGGAGAATATTATGTCTTTTGAGAGACAGAGTGATTGTGTATTTTCACAACATCCACTAAGCTATAGGAAAATTCCCTTGCAAAATGAAAAGCCTATTTAGAGATTAGTTAATTGATCCAAACTGAATAAAATGCAATTAAGATCAGGCAGATTGATAATGCCTTGATGTGTCAGAGTAAGCCCAATTCACTAAAAAGGTCTGTATGTTCTCCCTTTGTTCCTCTAAAAATTCTGAATTAATATTATGTTAGCTATTATTTTAAACTGAAAGGCGGCACATGATGTAATTAAGTCCATACTGTAACTATGTCTATGAAATACAGTATATACCTAACAAGGAAGAAGAAGGGGATGTGGCTCCAGTATCCTGCAGGCAGAATTGTGTATAGCAATGAACTAGTGAAGAATGGAAAATGCCCCTTTTTCCAGTTCACTTTACTGGTCATTAAAACCTATGAAACACAATGAGAAAATTGGACAAAAAATTCTTCTTTCTAAACGATCATCCAATAATCTGAGCATTAGTACACAGCTTTGGAGAGCCGATCATGACAGTTCGTGCAAAATTATCTGAAGGGACAAGTACGAAAATTTTCACGTACGATAACAGATTGAACGATTTACATTTAGTCAGTACAGTATTCGTCTGTAAAAAATTGAGTGACCAAGGCTGTGCATGCTCATAAAGAAAATAATACATTACAATACAATACATTACATCACTTCTGAAGTTGTATTCTTTCTTACAAGAATTTTCGTAACATTAGTAACCCCTTCATTTTCGATATGAGAGATCATTCATCCAATATTTTCATTGTGTGTTCAAGGCATTAATGTTTTTGTTTTCCAGCCTTTGCTGTTTTTAACACATAAGTAAGGGGGTGAATAGGATTTTGTTTAATACAATTTATTTATAGAGCACCAAAAATTTATGCAGCACTTTACATATATTGCACGTTCACATCAGTCCCTGTCATAAGGAGCTTTTAGTCCAAGGTCCCTACCTCACATGAATGCATACACATACTAGGGCCAATTTAGACAGGAGCCAATTAACCTGCAAGCATGACTTTGAAGTGTGGGAGGAAACCAACACAAACACAGGAAAAACTTAAAAACTCCTTTCAGTCAGTTGCATGGTTGGGGTTCAAACCAATCACCCTAGTGCTGCAAGCCAGGAGTGCTAATCACTTATCATTCACCATGCTCTGATTAAAAAGCATACATATGCAGCACTACCCGCTTAGGTGTCACTGAGGTTTTTGGTTTCCTTATAGTCCTGCACAGCCAGGCAACACGCATTTTCACATTAACTTGCATCCAGGAGACAGTAACCAGTCTTTGAGCTTTGTTTTGAAGTTTTATTAGGGGATTTGAACTGGGATAAGGGTGCCCAATGTAACAGTGAAACCAAGGACAACTTCCTAGAACTATATACAAGTTTTTACAGCAAAATCCTCTTCTTGGAGAGATAGCCAGCATCTCCTGTAGTATCACCCCAGACCAAAGATTTTACTAATTCAGCAGTTCTGGGTGAATCCCTGAGCAGGGGATCCAGTGCCTGTCACTTTAAGAGAAGACAGTCCTGGGTAGTTGCTAATTTGGTTCTTCTTCCCCTATTTGGCCCAGGAGGAGCAGGTCTACTCACTTGGTCCTCTTCCAGTGTTGCTGGTGGGTCAGTGGCTGCTACCAGGCCTTCTAGTTGGGCCGCTTTTTCCCTGCCACACAGGTAGTACTCTCTCAGGGGGCCTGGTAAAGTCATCAGCTTTCCTCCTTCCAAGGTTGCTCCTGCCTGGAGGTGAGCCCCTCTCCCATCTGGGACCCCTCCCAGGCTCCTGCTCTCCAGCCTCACTTCTCCATCTTCCACCCTAACTCTCCTCCAACTCTCCCCTCCTCCTGCTGCTGAGCAGGCTTAGTTACTGTTAAAGGCTGTCCTGGCCACTTGCCAAGTCTCCTGTTGGGGATTGGCCAGGATGCTCTAAGAGTACAAGGTAGCCACTCCTCACCTCCACCCACTGCTTCTAGAACCTTTTGCAAAGTTCTAGTGCAGGGGGAAGTCCTAGAGAACTAGTCTGCAGAGCCTCTCAGCTCTGACCTAAATTTGACCCTGCTAGCTATCACACCCAGGCTGCTACTCAGCCCTCATATATAAAAATTGAATTAGAGCTCCCCCTAGCTAACCAAGAGGATGCTACACATAGTATGAAAATATATTTCGTAGGATGAAGTTACACTAATGAAAACTGGTCTTATAAAGTATATTTAAATAATGAAATAACTGCTCAGTTCTACAAACTTAATTGAAAATGACTGTAAAGTATAATTTATATAATTAAAATAATAAACAGGTTTATACTTACTTGCTCTGTGCACTGATATTGCACAGAGCCACCCCTTACCTCCTCCTCTGGGTTCCCCTCCAGCAATCTTTACTCCTGCTCTTCTGTGTCTGCCCCCATAGCAATCCACTTGCTGTGGGGGCAGATGTGCAGGCTTGCTCCTGAGCTAGGCTGTGTGTGTCAACCACACCCCCCACTCTCTGCTCACTGGATTTGACTGGCAGGAGCAGGAGCCAGTGACCCCGACTGTTTTCGGAATAGCTGTGAGACCATGAAAAGAGGGACAGAAAACATGAAGCTGGGCACAGCGCTGGATCGATACAGGAATCAGGTAAGTGTTGAGGGGAGGGGCAGTGGAATGTTTTTTACCTTAATGCAGAGAATACATTAAAGTAAAAAATCTTAAAACTTTAGAATCCAATGAGATCACCTTATTACATCAAAGGGAAACATTGTAATTTTGACTTTTGTTTGTATTGCAGGCCTTTTCATGGCTTCAAGATGAAATTGGAACAGATTCTGATCCAGTGATCATTGTAAGATTCCTGGGATCCACTGGAATGAGCTCTGAATTATATTGTTTACTGCAAAGCCTTTGTGAACAACTCGCAGTAAACTACCGATGTTTACTGCAGAGCATTCCAAAAAAGATCCTGGACCTTCGGGAACTGTTTTTAAACTTGCTGAATGAGTCATCATTTCATAGACCCCTTGTTCTTGTGCTGGATAGTCTTGAACAACTTTCAGAGAGTGAAGATGCCAGAAAACTTTGGTGGCTTCCTATTCACCTTCCTCGCACAGTTCGTATAATCATATCAACACTGCCAAACAAACATGGAATGCTCCAAAAACTAAGGTGCCTTATACACAATGAAGACAATTATGTAGAACTTATTCCACGGGATCGTAAAATGTGCAGCCAAATACTTAAACATCAACTTCTGAGAGTTAAAAGGAAGGTAACATCAGGTCAGCAAATTTACGTCAATGAAGCTTTCTCTAGGTGTACTTTGCCAATGTTTGTCAACCTTACTTTCAGAGAGGTCCGAAACTGGAGATCTCATAAAGATGTTGATGACTCAACTCTTTGTGTGACTGTACATGAGAACATAGAACAGTTATTTTGCTCACTGGAGAAACAAGTGTGGGCTACGGTTGGTGTCACGGGCACTAGGGTACATTACAATGGCCAAAACAGGTCTTAGTGAGGTAGAGCTGGAGGATATTTTAGCTCTTGATAACAGTGTGATGAATGAGTTATTAGCCAATGGGAAACCATTGAACCCATTAAGGGTACCTTATAGAATTATTGCACAAATTAGAGAGGATCTTACTGGATATTTAGTAGAGAGACACGTAAGGAATGTTACACTTTTGGTTTGGTCAAACAGACACCTTCATCTTATTGCCCAGAAATTGTATCTTAGTAATGATGATGATTTGCAAGAGATGCATGCCAATGTAGCAGAGTACTTCTTAGGTGTATGGTCAGGAGGAAGGAAAAAAGCCTTTTACAATGAGCATCAATATTTTGAAAATTGCATTCAAAATGAACATAGTGGCATACATAATGACGGAAAACATTTTCCTGATGAAAATGAATTTGACAGGCAGGCTCCAGAACAGCCCTGGGCATTCAGTGCAATCCTTTACAGCCTGATATATTTTTTGTGAATCACAGAAAAATGACAGAACTTTTGCATCATTTGACAAGATGTGGTATGACAGATGAAATGATGTCTGGGATTACAATGAACTTTAGTTGGCTGTACACAATGATCAAAATTGGCCAGTTTGAACAGGCACTAGGTGATATCGAAATAGCATACAATTACTCACAAGAAAAAGAGTTGAAGTTTCTTGCAAGTACCCTTCAAAGCATTAAAAATAAAGTTCTTAAAAATCCAGGGTCCCTTTCGGCTGAGTTACAGCAAATACTTCTTCCAGTTGTGAGTTCTTTGCCTAAATTCCGGAACCTTCTTTTAGAATGTGACAAGGATGGACCAAAATACTGTTCAATTGTCCCACTCCATTCTTCCATGGATGTTACCTACACCCCTGAAAGAATTTCACTATCATCTAGCTCACTGCACATCACTGAGGTCCTCCCAACATACAGTCCAAATATTATAATCTCTTGCACTTGAGAATGGCACTATAAGTACCTGGGATGTTGAATCAAGGCAACTTTTAAGGCAAATTACCACTACCCAGTTTGTAATAATGGGGATGAAGCTTACAGCAGATGAAAAATATCTTGTTGTGTCCACAGCAAAGAACACCCTACTAGTTTATGATAACCTTAACTCTTGCCTTTTATCTGAAGTTGAAATTAAAGGTTCCAAAGGGGTTGGAGGGGGCCCAAACCTTATAAATGGGTTTACACTTTCACATACACATGCACTGGCCTGGTTGGAAGCAAGCAAAGATGTTAATGTTATAGATTTACTTTACGGCTGGCCACTTTACAATTTCCATTGCTGGTATGAGGTAACCTGCATTCAGTGTTCTTCAGATGGACTGTATGCATTTTGTGGGCAATACCTTAATACTACCACAATATTTCATTTGGGTACTGGTGAGAAACTGTCAACTGTTACATCTGAATTTTCTGGAGGGTTTTTGAAATACATTCTCGTTCTTGATAGTCAAGAAGCAGTCATGATTGACAATGAAGGGAGCCTCTCTGTGTGGAATACAGAGGAAATTACCAATCCTCAAGTAACTGAAGAATTTGATTGTACCAAGGGAGACAGTGAAGTCATCAGCACTGAGCTATCTGAAGACCAAAGTGCAATTCTTATCTGTAAAGCATTAAGTATCGAACTTTTGGATACACGTATGTGGAAAATTTCTGAAAAGTTTCGGGCAAAACGCAATGAGAAATTTATTTCAGCTGCCCTTTCCAGAAATTCTGACTGTATAATTGCTTCCATGGAAAATACCTCATCTATATTTGTATGGAGAAGAGACACTGGACAATGCATGGCAAGTTTACAAGAAATCTCAGGGAACATTGTCAAATTAGTGAAATCAAGCCATCACAATTTACTCCTGTCCTTGTCTGTTAGTGGTGTGCTTTCCATTTGGGACATTGACATCTTAACGGCAATGTCCAATATTGACAAAACAGGTAGAGCTGTCCAATCGGTTTTGTTGTCTGGCAGAGGAGATTACATTTACTCACTTGATGGATCTGATTATGTCCAAAAATGGAATTTTAACACTGGTTTTATTGAATCTGCTTTTAAGCATGAGGGAAATGTGGAAAATGGTGTGCTTACAGCCACTGGTGAATTGCTTGTCACCTCAGATGACAAATGTAACCAATATGTTTGGCATTCTGGTACTGGTGAAAATCTTTTCAGAATTAGTGGTCAAAGAATATCACAGCTGTTAATAACACATAATGATCAATTTATAGTGTCTCTTTGTGAGCAAAATGCATCTAGAGTATGGAGGCTTGCAACGGGCCATAAAGTCTGTAATATCTTAGCTGCCTTAAAGAATGCACTTATAACTACTGCAAACACGTTTGTGATTGGCATGACCAAGAACAAGCTTCTGGCTGTAAGTTTATGGACAGGAAGCATAACAAAAAAGTACTGTTGTGATGATGGGTCAACAATTGTAAACTTCAGACTGAATCCAGACTGTCCAGATTTTGTTGTGTTTATGACATCAACTGAAGCTGTGAACATCTGGAGCCTAGCTGAGGAGGCAATCTGTAGAAGGGTGCAGCTTCCATGCAACTTTTTGAAAAATCTCAATGATTTTGAAATCTCTCCAAATGGGAAGCTTGGAATTATCACTCATGGTGATGAAAAGTTCAATGTTCTTGATTTGCATAGTGGGAAGCTTAGAGTGGTGCATGCATCAGGCGTTATATGGAAGCAGAGCTTGTCTTGCGATGGGCGTTACCTTGTCTACATTTGCTTCCGAAATGGGGACGATGATGAGGACAATTCAGTTTCAAGTTTAATTGTGATGAGACTTGCAGATGGAAAGAGCATTGGTGCTTGTTCCTTATATAAAACTCCAACTTTCCTTGCACTTTCACAGCGACATCTCAATATCGTTGTAGGATTTGATGACGGGAGTATTGGCACTTACACAGTAGTGGACCGAGTCGATGCCACATTGAAAATAAAAATAGCAACTTCGAACAGTCGTCAGATTTTCAATAACAAATCACATATTTTCAGGCCCAAGTGCAATAATTACATATACAAAATGGCACCTGACTGCTTATGGAGAGAATCCACTGAAGTATTTGCTAGAGACAGCCCCATCACGGTGTCAGATTCTGGCGAAGGAACAGAGACAACTCCAACCAAAAAACATAATTTTTGTTATGAGAAAATGTGCTCTGCCATTGACTGTAGAGGGCAGAGCTTTGCAGCAAAGAACTGAGACCACCAAAGCATAGATGCTTACAAATAGGTTTACACACCATTCTGATCTTAAATTACATCTTTTAATTAAGTGTGCATGACAATTCAGGCATCATTGTTGAAAAAAAAAAAAAAAATATCCAGCAAAATATAGCAAAAACTCTGTTGTCTGGTAGGTCATGTTAAATTTTATTTATATATATATATATATATATATATATATATATATATATATACATATTTCAGGCACGAAAATTGATTGAGGCATTGTTAAATTTACAAATTTAATGCTCATATTGTTTTCCTGTGATAAACCTATGATTACAAATAGAGAATCTGTAAAGGCATAACCATGCCATAAATGCAAAGTCATGGTCTTGACATCAGATTCCTATGCTGCAGCTAAAGGTGCCATGAATATTACTTGCCAGTAAATACACAATACACACAACTTTTGCGGATCAGTTGACCCTTTCATTGATGGGTAGGAGCCAATTTTCAAACTTATATTTTCCCCTAAAGGTGTAATATCAGTGCAGCTTTACACACATACATATGTTCAGGATGCATATGTGATTATTTAGGGAACTATTGATAAAAGCTGTGATCTACAGTCAATCGGTGATTTTATATCAAAAATCTATGACCAATTTAAAACTGGTCGTACAGAGCTAGATGTGCATCATTGAAGTGGGGTATCTGCAATGACAGGTTGAACAACAGGGAAATGGCCAGTCTTTTCCAGCCATCAGAATTTTCTTTGGGCTGTCTTCCTTGCCTTTAATACCCCATACTTTGTGTATGGAACCTGATTTATGGAAGAATTCTCTGAGATTAAATATTTCAGTGATTCTGCCCAGTAGGCTTTATACTAATAACGAAACACTTTTTTAATTTAACGTCAGAGCAACTTGAATGAGAAAAACAATGAATAACAGAGGCTTTGTTTTGCACCTTTGTTGTCTTATCCCACACAGTAGAAGAGGGCTATGCAGTGTATCTTGATTAGAAATAGATGACGTGTCACCATTTTAGGTAAAGTTGGCACAGAACTGACTGGTCTGATATATAGAAAGTGTTCTTTTTGTTCTCCAGATTGTATTAGTATGTGAGTTTTAGTAAGGTAAGGATAGCTTAAGAGTTGACCTATAAATATACCAAATTGTAGGGAATTATTTTTGCAGCCAGTAGTTGATCATTGTTTTTTCACTGTAACTGAAGCTACACAAAGCTATCAGCATGTCTGCATTGCTTCAAGCCAAGTCAGAAACAACTCACCCACTGTTCTCCATAATGCATCTGCCCATGCATGGACACCCTAAATTAATGGTACCTACCACTGCAGTGTTACAACTGGATAGAGATATGTGTGTACCCAAGTATATTGAGTCTAAAGTTGGAATTAAGTAGTCTTGTTTTAATTTACATAGCAAATAATAATTATAAAAAAAAAAGACCAAATAAAATTGACAGCACCTGGAGGAGCGTCATGTGAAAAAAATGAAAAGTTATCTTTCAAAGCTCTACTCTAGTCAAAGCATGTTTAGTTTTGGATGCTAACGGAAGATCTTAGATTTTCTGCCTTGTTGGTATTGGTGCGTGTGTCCCCATTGCAAACATGGCCCTCAAGAAATGAGGAGAAGGGGTCTCCAGGAAGAGAAAGAAAGCAATAAAAACTTTGCAGAGTATATTTTGCTGTTACTCGCTACCCTTTTAAATCCCTGTCACTAGGGCAGGACGTGAGGGCAAATCTCCCCAGTGGGGGCACAAACAGAAATAAAAACAGACACAGGTTGTGTTCCCTACTCTACCCAAAATTAAGTTTTCTGGATTTGGCCTCAACAAATAAAAAAATGTTTTATCACAACTTTAACAGAATCGTAGAATTAAAAAATATTATACATTTTTATTATTCCTAAAAATCATTATGATTCTGTTATAGGCTCTCCTAAGCCAAATTTAAATCTTTTGGGCTATTGTAGTGTTTGATTTCTAGTAAGAAAGAACATTTCAAAAGAAGATATTAATCAAGATCAGCTTTATCAGTTAAATATTAACTGTCAAACTAAACCACCAAAAACATTGCATTTGTGGACCTGCAATAGTTTAATTTTGACATCTGCCTTAAAAATTCTGTTCTATTCTGTGTTACATACAGATCAAATGACCAACCTAATACTCTGGGATTGTCATAATGCCTGCATATTGTCAAAAATAGTCTGTTATATCAAATGATATATCCAAAGGTTCTATAATGTTTTGAATTTCTAGTGAATTTCTTACTTATATTTGATGTGCTGAATGAGATGTTTAACATACAGCTATTGACTGTTTTCAACTTTTTTAAAATTTCGTTTTGATCCAGTATGTTATCAAATGTTTATGGAGATTTTGCATTAATCTAATATAGTGTATGTATGACATGGCATGGTTTTTCCCAGCTTTTCAAAGAAATTATATTAAATAAGCTTGTCAGGCATTGAGTACCTGCTTGAATAGATTCTAAGATGGGACATGCCCAACTAAGATACAATAGGCATTATTAACAGGTCTGCTCCACTAAAGACTGATATTTCATTTTGTGGTGTTTGAAAGTCGAATCACATGCTGGTATGAACTCCAGTTCCAGTAACAAGATATTTTCACCAGAATCCAAGGTTTGGCCAAGTGCTCCACATTTATATAAAGAGAATTTTCCTTTGCCCATGAAAAAGGTTCATTTAGCTCATCCCTATCCTAACTGCATATACTTACATTTTCTTGCACCCCACATTTTACCCCCATTCCTCCCCACTCTACAGGTTTCTTCAACCGCCAAAAGTGAAGTGAAATGCCCAGAACTTGCACATATGAGTGAGCATGTGCGCTCTCCCTCTTTCCCTTGTGACAGTGCTAAGTACCTTATGATTTGCTTAGTGCAGTCACTGACTAGAAAAGAAATTCATAAACCTGTGTGAACGCCAGCAAGTTAGTTTGGAGCTCACATGGGGCTCCATTATTCCAATTCTGAATAGCTAAGTGGAGTGGCAGGGGAGTAAGAAAAGGTGAGCGCATTCTACTGAAGGGAGAGAAGTAAGCCTTTTATTTTTTTTTTCCTGCATGTGCGAAGGAAATGGTAACTTTATGAACTTGTGGAATGCACACAATATTATAGGGAAATACTTACAGTGGAGTCTAAAAAAAGAAATAAGAACCTGGCAAGTGAATCTTCCACTGCCCTCCAAAACCGAGTTGTCCAAAACTATTACTTTTTGATGGCAGTTGGAGATGGTATGCCAGTTCTGGCTTCTTTTATCTCTTAAGGGCTGATAATGAGATCACTGCATTTTGGTTTCCAGATCCTCCACAACCCATTACAAGGACAATCTCTGTACTTCCTCCAGGACTGCAATATCCCTTCGAAATTTAGCAGGGGGACCTTTTCTGAAGTCTACAAGACAAATAAGAAGCTAGTGAATGATTCAGTCAACCATCATCTACCCAGCAGTGAAATATCAGTTTTAGGTAGACTTACCTTTAAATAACACACTGCAAAAGAGTAGCAATGCATGCAGTAACTCAATGCAAACAAGCACAGGTCAATCTTAATTTGGCCAACTACTAGCAGCTTGAGACTGGCCACTGATTAGTTGCAATGAGCCACTGTACAACATTGCCCTGTGCACTGTTATTAAATAAAGGCCATTGTGATACATCTGTGTTTTGTGTACAAGCCAATATAGTATATTCAGTGACTTGAATGATTTTTCCTATCTTGTTTGCAATTGATAGATGATACTGAATGTTTTTATGTAAACTTTGTATTGTTGGGAGCGTTTCCCCAAGCAGAGATTTATATTTTCATAAATGTTTAACTTAGTTACCTTTTGTTACAGAGGTATTATATTAAAACTCTATTGCAGTCTTCAGACCATATACAGTCTTGTGTATGCATTGTTTGTACAAATAAAGCAAGTTATATTGAATTACCGGTGTCAACTGATTATTCAAATTGAGACATTGAGGGTAACAATTAAAACAAGTTAACTGCTAATGTTAAGAAATATTTCCACTAAGCTGAATTTATATTGTGAAATTGTTTCTTTAAAGCGGAACTTAACTTTCACAGGCAACATTATCTATTTGTAATTCTTATGCTGCTAGCATTAGTAAATAGATAGGATGGTATATTATATTTAATTGTGTTAACCTTTTTTCTTATATTTATTTTGTTGCTCCCTGTGTCTGGCCTAGGCCAAAATGATGCCATACATCCCAGGGGTCTTCATGGGCATTTTTCTTCTTTCACCTGGAGGAAGGGAGGGTTTTCTCAGCTAAGCACCCCTGCCAGCCTGCATGCCTGAGTAAGGGCTAATGAATTCCACAAAGTAAATGCTACGTGAATCATCTGCCCTTACTCAAGATGGACATGGTTAGAAATGCTAGGGAGTGTGTTTCAAAATGTTTTCACAAAAAATAAAGTTTAAAGACATGGATGGATGGGTGAGCTTGCTTTAAATATTACAAATTAATTAAATAGTGCTTTTTGTATATGGTGCTCAGATACAGTTTAGTTCTACTTTATGTTTTCTATAATTTTTCATCATTCCTCAGAGCTAAATTTACATGTGCCACTCAGCAAGACTGCAACTCCCTGTACACAGTATTTGCAGGAGGCAGCTTTACAACATTCATTAAAATCATACATGGTAAGCCATGTAATTCCTGTTATAGGATAACAATGTTCTTTCCCTGTCTCTCAGTTGTGCTCCTTCAGTGTCTTCCTTTCACACAGGCTTCCAATGAAGTCTACAGGTGGCTGTTTAGCACATATTTGGTTCACTGTTGTCACTATTAAGAAAATGACCCTGAGAAATTCCATAGCTCTATCCCTTGAGTGCATGCATATATAAGGAAGATGTGGCAAATAGGCTACAGGAGATCAGCAGCATTGCAATGCTTGAGATTGAGATGCAAAAATATTACAAAAGTGACAACACTTTTATGGTTAAAAAAGGTAGTCATTTATCATACACAGTA